CACACACACACACACACACACACACACACACACACTTTAAACCTGTTCACGATGAATTAAATGAATTCAAATTCACAGGGTTTGTTTAACAAGTTTGATTTCAAAGTTTCTAACACAGACACTGTCAGAGTATTAAAGTGCTGCTGACACAAACAGATGTATATGCAGATACAGGTCACAGCGTCTGCTCAGAAGCAGCTTCTCTCTGCTCAGACTCATTAAACTCACTCAAATCATATTTCCTGCTTCAGGATGACTCAGGTGAACGTTTACCTGCTCAAACAGCAGCCGCAGCTGCCGCTCTGACTCGCCCACCCACTTGCTGAGGACGTCGGCTCCCTTCCTCATGAAGAAGGACACCTTCCTGTTGCCGTGGCTACACTCGTTGGCCAACGCCCGTGCAACCAGCGTCTTCCCCGTCCCGGGTGGGCCATAAAACAGACACCCTCTGCAGAGAGACGCAGGTGGAGCGTGTTCACTGTGTAATCCGTCTTAAAAACATGAAGTCCAACCTTTGACCTCGGCCCACTCACATCATTCAGTCTCATGTTTCCTCTGAGCTGCAGTCTCAGCAGGACTCAGTAACTACTACAGCACACATTTACCTTTGTGAGAAGGTAAACTCATCATGTCCCTGCATCAAGCATCACTCACCTCTGAAGGTTTCTTTATATATTTAGAATCTGGGTTACACAAGCGTGTATTCATATCTTTGTGGGAACCAAATATAGAAAGTTTACTATACTTGTGGGGACCAACATTCTGGTACCAAAGACTTTGAAGGGATTTTAGTCTCAGGGTTACAGTTAGGTTAAAGTTAGGGTTAGAGGCTAGGGAACGCATGACGTCTATTAGATGTCCCCACAAGACATGAATACCTGACGTGTGTGTGTGTGTGTGTGTGTGTGTCACCTGGGAGGCTGAATCTTGAAGTTGTCAAAGACCTCAGGGTAGAGAAGGGGGAAGACGACCATCTCCTTCAGAGCTGAGATGTGACCTGACAGACCCCCAATACTGTCAAAACCCACCTGAGGAAGGAAGGAAGGAAGGAAGGAAAGGAAGGATGTAACAGGATCAGGTGGAGAGCAAAACAACACAATGAGAAGATTTTTCTGTGAATCATGTGTAAAACACGAGGTCACAGGAGAACATATCTAAGGTTTAGTCTCACAGATTGGTCGATGGCCATGGGATCGATGTCCGCCAGGCGCGCTCCTGCAGCCATCTTGTCGTTGCGGGTTCCCAAAAGGTTGCCGGTACGCAGGCTGAGTGGGAGACAGCTGAGAGCGAGAGACAAGTCTCAGTAAGACAGGCAGCAAACACCATCTGATCTACTCCATACGCCTCGTGCTTCACAGTTAAAAGCATTGATGATGGACGATGTATCAGGAAGTGGTTTGATGACCCAATCAGATTGGCTGTCTCTGACCTGTCAGGGGCCGCCTCCTCTTCATGATCAGAGTCTTCATCAGATTGTTTGGACCAGGCGCTCTTAGTGGGTCTGCAGGAAGAAACAGAGACCTGAGTGTGACAGATGAAGGTGAAGCATCCAACAGGTGGTTTTGGTGATGATGATAAGATCTGTTGTTCCTGTAGTGAAGGCGGTGATTTTACATCACCCACCTCGGCACTGTGTTTGTGCTGCTGGAGCACTTTTGATGACATCAGCTGACCAACAGCATGGCTGCTGAGGTTACAGCACTAACAGGGCTGAGCTCCAGTTTGGTGAAATCGTAGGACTTTAAAAGCAAGTTTGTAAAGGTTTTAAAAGCCAGTGATGTCACAGTTTATACGTCAGTCTATGGTGGCCCCTCAGGATCAAACGGATACAGGAACATTTGTGAGGGAAAATAAATAAAAACCAGAATGCAGAAAAAGTGTGACCTGAGGTTTCGAGGGTTTAGCCTGTGTAGCCAACCTGCTTCAGACTACATCATACTTCAGCGTTCAGCTGTGTCCTGCTTTATTTGAAGGAGAGAGGAAAGGCGTGTCCACGCTCTGACCTGAAGGCTGCTCTGCGGGTCGTGTTCGCTCCGGAGGCGCTGACTGGGAAGGTTCCTCTCAGGAAGTCTAATCGATACCAGAGAAAACAAAATCATCAGAGCTGGAGCTTTAGTACGTTTCAAGTGTGTGGTTTTATTTTTCTCCTGAAGAACCCGTTGTTCACCGATTTGTAGGCTTTTAGGGTTTTTATTGTATTACTCAGCATGTACAGACGGCATGTTTGGAGCGGCGTACTGACCGCTGGTCGGGCCTTGGTACAGCGACGAGGCTCGGCTCAGTTTGGCATCAACGTTGTGGCCGACGCTGCAGTTGCTGTCTTCATCTGCTGTTACGGCCTTCCTGCTGTCCTCGTCAAAGCCCGCCCCTGGAGACACCAGAGAAGACGTTTTTACCACCACGTCTCCCTCTCGTCATCATTCCTCTGCTCCTAACCATCTGCACTGACCTCGGCTGTCCTCGCTGTCGCTGAGCTCTCCTCGCAGTGGGACTGGTGTTTTACTCCTCTGGGCTTTAGAGTAGATCTTCTGCAAATGTATCAGTTATCAGGTGTGTAACGATCAGTTAATCATCCCTGTGTTTATCCAAGTAATGCATCTGATTAAAGTGACCAACGTGACAACGAGGGATGGGACTGTTTTTGGACATTTCACAGATCAGTTGACTCGTTACTGAGGAACATTTCAGAACCGCTAATATAAACACAAACTCCCACTGTGGACACAGAGCTGTGGGCCTGTGTGATGTCACAGCTCTGACACTTTTCAAAGTCGACCTGTTCTGCTCGTTTCCAGCTCCATGTTTGTGTTCTAACCGTGACCCCTAATGAGGATGCAGGTTATCACTGATTGATATGTGGCAGTGTGGTAAATAAGTTAAATGGTCACCTCGGCAACCAGAGCCTCGAATGTCCGCTAGCGGCCAACCGCGAGCTACAAAGTAATGATAGGTGGACTGACATTAGACTGGACCACAGTGCCTTAGAATAACACGCAGTTTAAAGTAATCCTTATTGTTCTGGGCCTTGCAGCCCCTCAGCTCATCCTCTGTCAAGCTGTTGTAGCTCCTCCCCCTTTAAGGTGCACCTTAGGATTACTCAGACATTACACAAATCCATGAGTAGAAGAAAACTTGACCAAACTGAGTTTCAAGCAAGCTTTTGGTTCACTGGGATTACTGCACATACAGACTCATTATTAGAAACCTGACTGATGTGAACATCCACGGCTGGGACAGAAGATCTGTGAGCCTGCTGTTGTTCTCTGACAGGATGTAAAGCACACGCCACACTGATTACAAACGTCTCAACGACTCGTTGTTTTACTCATTCAGAGCAGGAGAAACTCCATGTGAGGAGGAAATATGAACATGTGAACACAAAAATAAGGGCTGGTGCTTGTCGGCTGCTTTCCAATATGGTGCCAGCTGATATAGACGTTGCCCCCTCCCCACAAGCCGCGAGCAGTGGGAGGGGGGCTGGGTGCAGCCGGGTCCACCGCCCTCATAAAGACCTGATAAGAGAGGCAGCGCCCACCGAGACGGCGGCCGCAGCTGAGGGTTTACAGCTGACTCGGGATGTAAACAAACTCTCAGTGTTGATTATCAGCGTAAAAACATAAACACAGCTCCTAACAACAAAACACGACACAGCGCCACGGCAACAGTGACGCCACAAAGCGCACACACGCGTGTGCCTTAGATGTTTGTGTTGCAGTGCAGTCTGGGTGATGATGCCAAAAGGTTACGGTGAGGGAAACATGTCCTCTGTTAAAGTTTTCTATTTGATCCTTAAAGAACGAAAAAGACTCCGACTGTTTGTGATGATGGAGACGATCACACTGACCCCAGAACAGCTGGTGACCAGCGCACAGCTGTCTGTATCTGAGCAGACTGTTTGAGCCGATGTCCCTCCTGGTCAACGGGGTCGTGACCTTTGATGACCTCTGACTTGTGGCAGAAAATACTTGACACAGCGTCTGGTTTGAGTCCTCGCTTCTACAGATGAGCATCTGTGAGCTCTTTAATTACAGTACTGTGCTGACCCTGGTTTCTTTAAAAGTCTGAAAAAGGTTTTCTTTGTCACTCATTTTCAGTCCAGTCCTTCTACCCGAGCGTGTCCAGAGGAATGATTTTGCCTGTAATGACTGAGAACTGAACAGAGACGTTTCTTTGTGCAAACAGGATAAATACTTATAGTCACTGATCCACTCTAACGGCTCTACTCACTCCTTCCTTGTTGTTACTGAGCCGCCTCTTCTTCTTCATGCTGTCCATCCTGTTCAGGACCGACCTGGCGGCGCTGCAGAGAGAACAGCGTGGACGTCACCAGGATTCAATCTACCGTATTATCACAATCGTACAGGTTTGTGGCATAAAGATCAGTGCAAACATGGCGGACGGCCACATGTGGCCACATTCATCACATCACTCTGAGCTCCTCGGGTTAAACTTCAGACTTTTAATGTATCAAAGACATCCGTGAATCCCAGCAGGGACGATCAAACACAGAGCTGTTGTTCTGTGTGTTTCTTTCTTTGGCTGTCTCAGGGTTAACAATCAAAGTGTCACTGATGGCATCATAACCTGAACTCATCTCAGTTTCTACGTCACTGCTTTTACTGCACCTCCATCACCTCACATGTCAGGAGGATTTTCTTACTTGGTGCTGATGCCGTCGAACATGTTGGAGGCCTCGTACCTGCTCGTCACTTTGGTCAGCCTCGTGCTTCTCCTCAGCCGGCCACCTGACACGCACACACAC